TATAATAGAATTAAGAATAGAATAGAATAGAATATGGAATATAATAGAATTAAGAATAGAATAGAATAGAATTAAGAATAAATAGAATAGAATGGAATGGAATAGAACAGAATATGGAATAGAATAGAATATGGAATGGAATGGAATGGAATGGAATAGAATAGAATAGAATAGAACAGAATAGAATAGGAGCTGTAAGGGACCTTGGAGGTCTTCTAGTCCAACCCCCTGCTTAGGCAGGAAACCCTATACTATTTCAGACAAATGGTTGTCCAGTCTCTTCTTAAAAATGTCCAGTGTTGGAGCCTTCACCGCTTCTGGAGGCAGGTTGTTCCACTGATTAATTGTTCTCACTCTCAGGAAATTTCTCCTTAGTTCTAGGTTGCTTCTCTCCTTGATTGGTTTCCACCCGTCGCTTCTTGTGCTTCAGAGAATAGCTTGACTCCCTCTTCTTTAGGGCAGCTCTGAGATATTAGAACGCCACTATCGTGTCACCCCTCGTCCTTCTCTAAATTAAAGTAGACATACCCAATTCCAGCAACCGTTCTTTACATCCAAAGGTTGTTTGCAAAAGCAGGGCAAAAACCAAAACTTCCCAATCATGTTGTGTTGGGGAGAAGAAGAGGAAGAGGAAGAGGAAGAGGAAGAAGAAGAAGAAGAAGAAGAAGAAGAAGAAGAAGAAGAAGAAGAAGAAGAAGAAGAAGAAGAAGAAGAAGAAGAAGAAGAAGAAGAAGAAGAAGAAAGTCATTTGAGTACCGCCGAAAGGTGTTTATGCTGTTGTCGCTTCAGCCAGCAGGCGGTTGAGTTCTATGCATCCTCTTTGTGAGCAGATTAATGACTGCGACTGGTGGAGAACAAGACACCCATGACCAACTGTCAACTCCAGTTGGGTGAGCCCTAATGAGTTAAAATTAAATGTTGCAGTTAGGCTCCACAACCCCCCCCCATCCCCTTCAGTTAATCTGTCACTTAATGAAGAAAAGAGCGTGGACAGAGACAGCCAAGCGAGGTGCCGGCTGACTTACAGCAGGCTGATTAAGGATGTTCCCCCAACAGCAGCCAGTGGACTTCGGCGAACAAAATAAATAGACTGTATGCAAATGTGTTTGTCACTCTGACAGCACAACTCAATTAAGGCCGGCTCTGCTGGGGCTGGTGGGCTGCAAGCTTGCAGACGCCACTGCAGTGTTGAAACTGGGGGTATTGACCAGCCGTTGGTTTTGTCCATTATTTGGGACGGGGGGAGGGAGAAATAGACTTCAAGTCTCCTTCTGCATCTTGCCATCTTAGAATAGAATACAATAGAATAGAATAAAAAAGAATAGAGTAGAGCAGAGCAGAATAGAATGGAATGGAATGGAGTAGAATAGAGTAGAGTAGAGTAGAGTAGAGTAGAGCAGAATAGAATAGAATAGAATAGAATAGAATAGAATAGAATAGAGTGGAGTGGAGTGGAGTGGAGTGGAGTGGAGTGGAGTGGAGTGGAGTGGAGTGGAGTAGAGTAGAGTAGAATAGAGTAGAGTAGAGTAGAGTAGAGTAGAATAGAATAGAATAGAATAGAATAGAAAATAGAATAGAGTAGAATGGAATGGAATGGAACGGAATGGAGTGGAATAGAATAGAACAGAATAGAATAGAATATTTGAATTGAACAGAATATAGAATAGAATAGAATAAAAAATAACAGAATATAGAACAAAATATAGAATAGAATAGAATAGAATAGAATAGAACAGAAGAGAATAGATGGAAGGGACCTTGGAGGTCTTCTAGTCCAGCCCCCTGCTCAAGCTTGGCACTCTTGAAGTGCCCAGGAGATTAATTTTATGTTCTTTTCATTTGCCATAAGAAGGGCTGAAAACATGGGGTGGCTGTGCCCTAAAGCAAAGAGCTATTGGGAACGGATAGGGAACTGGATACAGAAGATAACTAAGGTTCAAATTGAATTCAAACCTGAAATATTTCTTCTGGGTATAATAAATTTAAAGATTAAAAAGCAACTCCAGCACATCATTATACATATATTGACAGCAGCCCGTATAGTATATGCTCAGTGTTGGAAGGGTGAAAACATACCTACAAACGATATGATTATATACAAAATTCTTGAATGCGCGGAAATGAATAAACCTACGCTAGAATTAAAAGACAAGGAGCCAACAGAATTTTATGAAATATGGAACAAACGTTACGATTGGCTAGAACAAAGAAAGAAAAAGACATGATTACTGATGTAAATAAATTGTACATAATATTTATGAGATGTATAACACAGTTTTGTTAAGGGAAAAAATGTATTTTTTTTTTCAGTTTTATTTTTGTTGTATAGTGGAAAAAAGGAAAAATAAAAACTAAAAAAAAATGTAAAGAAGGAGTGAAAAGAGGAGTGCCAGATCTGTCCTTGATGCTCATTTTTTTTAAAAAAAAAACTAGGTCTGCCCTCCTTGGGCCAGTCTGCGATGCCAGCTCACTCACAGAAGCTTCCAAAGGAACTTTTGCTACCCGTGACCACGAAGTTGAGTGGATGGGTCTTTACCGCGTACACAGCGTCACCCAATAAAGACTAAAATCAGGGTTGGCAATTGTACTTGGTTGAGCTGGGTGGCTACAGAAACTGAATAAATGCATTCACGTCTTGAAGAGCCTGGCCAGGCCTTTGTCTTGGCCAAAAGCCACATGGGGTGAAGAACTGATGGCCTCGCTGGGAGGATGGGATGGAGAGAGACGAGTGTGTCTCAGCAAAATTTTGCCTGGGATAGGTTTCAATGGAATCATCATCAGAATCACAGAATAACAGAGCTGGAAGGGAGCTTGGAGGTCTTCTAGTCCAACCTCCTGCTCAAGATATTTGAATCACAGGTAGACCGGCATCCTATGTCCACAATGGACATCAGAAGACACCTTTTGGGAAGTCTGCAATCAGGATTCTTTTGCAAAAGTTGCGCTCTCATTGCCTCTTAAGAAGAGAATAGAGCTGGAAGGGACCTTGGAGGTCTTCTAGTCCAGCCCCCTGCTCAAGCAGGAGACCCTATGCCATTTCAGACAAATGGCTGTCCAATCTCTTCTTCAAAACCTCCAGTGTTGGAGCACCCACAACTTCTGGAAGCGAGTTGTTCCACTGATTAATTGCTCTGTCAGGAAGTTTCTCCTTAGTTCTAGGTTGCTTCTCTCGTTAATTAATTGCCATCCATTGCTCCTTGGGCTGCGTTCAGGCGCTTTGGAGAATAGCTTGACTCCCTCTTCTTTGGGGCAGCCCCTCAGGTATTGGAAGACTGCTATCATGTCACCCCTGGTCCTTCTTTTCACTGAACTAGACACACCCAATTCCTGCAACCGTTCTTTGTACATATAACCCGTATGTGCATTCACATGAACAAAGGCAGTTCTTTAAGGGGCTAACGCATAGGATTGCTCTTTCAAAATGCAATATTTTTAAACATTACCACGCCTGTCTGCCAATATCACCCTGGATCTTGCATCACTTGTATTTCCTCTCTGAGAAAGCAATTCTTTAATTACCTCCAGCCTTTCAACGTGGCCCCTCCACCGATTCAAGAGTCACCCAACGAAGATTACAATCTAGTTTACCCATGGCATATCCCTCTCCCCCTCGTGCCCGCCCGGGCCTACCAAACAAGCCTGCGAAGTTAAATTCATTTTTGCAATTATAAGTCACTTCATCCTGGCTGGCTTTTCACAAATGTACGGCGGAGAGCATCGTAAAAACAACCGGCTCGGCGAACAGGAGAGTCAATATCGAAATATGAAGCGTGCTATTAAGGAGCCATTAATTGATTTTCCAAACCCCGGTCGTTGCTTTTTCTGTTGAAAAGGGTGCTGCGGTGCTTATTATCCTAAGAGACCGGTGGCTGACACCGGACTGAACGAAAGACATCTGAAACTGTGGCAGAAGAGAGAATCCAGGATGAAAGGTGGGGGGGATGTTTTATTTGACAGGAGGGGAGGATGCAAGAAAAGTCTTGGAAATAGGTTGTGGACTAGATATACTCCCAAACTTCAGACTGGCACCTGCTGAAATTCTTAATGTGCCACTTAGGGGCATTAGCAGGTCCTGTCCACTGCTGAAGCTTTCAGTTTCGTCCTGGTTGTTTGTGAAGGTTCTGATTATGAGAGTTTCATCTTTCATCAGTTCTTCCCTTGGCATCCAGAGAACCACGGGGGGCGGGGAGGAGGGACCCTAGACCAGTGTCTTGTCAACCTTGGTGACTTTAAGATGTGTGGACCTCAACTCACACTAGCTGGGAAATTCTGGCAGTCCACATGGCTGAAAGTCAGCAAGGTTGAGGAACACCATGGCCTAGACCAGGGGGTAGGCAACCTTGGCTCTGTTATGACTGGTGGACTTCAACTCCCAGAATTCCTGACCCAGCCACGCTGAGGGGAAAGGGAGAGGTTTCCATGCTGAGCCATGCCGGCTCAGGAATTCTGGGAGTTGAAGTCCACGAGTCATAAAAGAGCCAAGGTTGCCTACCCCTGGCCTAGACCAGACATGTCAAACTCACGATGTCGTGCCGGCAATGGGGTGGGCGCGGTTTCCTCATGACACGGCAGTTTGACACCCCTGGCCTAGACCCGTGGTGATGTCCTTTTAAGACTGGGCTCTTGTGGATAAAGAAATAGGGAACGAGGACAGGCAACGCAGCCCATCATTCCGATAGCTGTGAAGGGCCTTCCAATGAAGTCCCAGAAGAAGTAGGATCAAAATTGTGGGAGGGGGAATCATTTTCCACTCAATTTTGGGAGAGAAGGATGGATGGAGAATGCCCTGTTCTTCTGAGTTCCTCCCTAACCCAATCGCGTAAAATATCAACCACCACCAACTAAAACTGGGCTATTGTTATTGCCTTCTAAACCCAGCGGTACAAAATGGGAGTGCTTCCAGAACGTAGACGATGAGGTCCTGGAAGGTGCAATGGGGACCCACCATCCCAACTGACATGCTACTCTAGAGGAAGATTCAAGTCACCTCCACAGCTTACCTGGCCAAAGTGGACGGTGATGGGTCTCCTGTCATCCTGGAGTTTGGGGTCCCTTTTTTCAGCCAGGGGAGATGGAGCGGTCCTTGAGGTGGAATCTTCCGGCATGGTGGAACAGCCGTTTTCACTGATGTCCTGCAGGGGAGAATACTGTAAATAGAATTGTGCCGCCAGGAAGACCCTTAATTTTGAAGGGGAGGGCTCTACACAGGATGCTCGTTGTGGCTTCTACAATGTCTCGGAAACGTGTAACTCTGCTTATAGGTAATTCATCAGTGGGTTAAAAGCCAGGTAGGTCTATGAGAGCACAGAACTGATGGAATATATGTGGGGCATCGTATAATGAACATAGGAGATTCAGCCAAGCCGAGGACAGAGATGGCCGCCACACAATGTCCTCAAAGATTAGAAATAATGAAAAGGCTTCAGCAATCCACCGTGCAGGGAAGCCAGCTGTGCAGGAAGCGTCAACTTTAAACTTCTTTGTGACAATGTCGAGGAACTAATGCCTGGTAAATATACAGACATGTGACCTCAAGGCCGGCTGCTTTGATGGGCGACCCCTGACCTGCCCCTCAAGTTCTCCTCTGGCTTAAATACTCTAATGAGACCGGTAAGCTGATAGCCAATTAGGAAGCATTCTTTGGGGGCACAGGATGACCTAAACCCGCTGGTCCAACACAACAAAGCTTAGATGGACCTCGTTCCAGACAGAAAAGGGACCTTTTCAGATCCAGCTGGTCAAGCCAAGGTTCTCCCCAAGGGACCAAAAAAAAATGTGTCACAGAAAATTAAGAACCTGTAAAAAATTTTTTAAAAAAAGGAACAGGGACTGCCTATCCACGAAGAGAGTTCATCTAAACGGGACACCTCCATTTTGTCCCTTGTAGAACAAAAATAACTAAGCAAAGGTTCCAGACACAAGGGAGAGTATTTGGAAGTTGGAAGCCGTTATCTGGTTCGGAGGGAAAATAAGTGGACAAAGAAGGACAATGCAAGGGCTGGAACCGCCTTGGAGATGTCTCCAAGGCCACCGTTGAACATTGCAAGTAGGTCAAAAGCTTGTCTGCAGCTGCAAGGGGGACTCATACTGTCCTTCTGCTCTTGCCCTTGACCTGGCCAACTCCACGGAGGTGAGGATTCAATGGAGGCAATGCTGGGAATGGCCCCACCGAGGCCATTTCCTTTGACCTACACAATCAAGGAGCTGTTTATGGAGATTCTCTGTCATCCCGGTCACGGTTGTCCCTAAGGTGCTTTTTCAAGAGGCAACTGGACTTTCTGGTTATTCTTTGAAGACACCTCACTTCTCATCGAAGAAGCTTCTTCAGCTCTGACTGGATGGTGGGGAAGGGAAGGATTTATACTCCTTGCAGACAGCTGGTCATTTGCCTTCTTTTCGAGAGTTGTTGAAGTCCCTGGAGGCTTATCTGTGTCCTCAGGGTCACCTGAGTGGTGCAAATGGTTGTGGAGCCTTCTTGGAGCTGCCGAAAGGACCGTGTTGTAGACTGGAGATAGATGATGTCGTGTCCCTTCCCCTCTGTTGAGAGAGGGCTGTTCAATTTTGACCTAGACGGCCTCTTTGACCCCTCTTTGTCCAAAATGTGGACAAACATTTGCCTTCTTTTAGAGAGTCGTTGAGGCCACCTGGAGGTTTGTCTGCATCCTCAGGATCACCTGAGTGGTGCAAATGGATGGGGAGCCTTCTTGGAACTGCTGAAAGGACTGTGTGCTAGACTGGAGGTAGATGATGTTGTGTCCCTCCCCCTTTGTTGAGAGAGGGCTGTTCAATTTTGACCTAGGTGGCCTCTTTGACCCCTCTTTCAAACCAGTGGTCCTCTCTGTCCAAAATGTGGACAGACCCTGAGGACACAGATAAACTTCCAGGTGGCCTCAACGACCCTCTAAAAGAAGGCAAATGGCCAGCTATCTGCAAGGAGTATAAATCCTTCCATCCTCCACCATCCAGTCAGACTTGAAGAAGCCTCTTGGATGAGAAGCGAAACCTCTTCAAAGAAGAACAAGAAAGTCCAGTTGCCTCGTTAAAAAAAAAAGCACTTTTGGGACAATCCAACAGCGGCACCACACTCCGTTAGCCATCCACTGCGGACAGCTGGAAGAAAGCCAGAGGAATGACTGCAAGATCCTTTTAATATCCCATCCCACAAACGAAGACAGGATAGGAAGGGAGCATCATTTAATCTCCACGACGGTATTAGAGGAGGACTTCTGAGACCCCAGGGTGACCTTTGCAGAATTCCACCCAGTATTTCTTATTTGCAATTCAAAGCCAACGTGGGAGCGAACCAAGGGCAGGCAGAGACTATTGATTATATCCAAGGGGTCATCACTGCTGCCCGCAGTTAAAGAAAACAGCCTTTCCTATCTGGGGTGCATTTTAAAATTTCTCCTGACGCCGTCAGTCCGATTTCGCAACCGGAGCCTCAAAGGTGAAATATAAGATTAGTTGTTCTCCTAACGTTTTTTTCTTTTTTTCGTGTTAATGCTAAGCAGTAGAGAATGGCAGTGAGGTTAGAGCCTCAAATTAGTCAGCCAGAAGATGGAGGAACACCAGCCAGTCTCGGAGCGAGGAGGGGAAGAAGCTCTCTGCTTATGCTCCCTCTCTTTCCCGCTGATTGAATTCCACTTATAAAATGGAAACCTGCAGATGTATCTGCAGAAGAGCACTGGGAACTGGTTGACAATGGAGGTGACACTAGCTTGGACTTGAAGGGGGTCCTAGAAAACAGAAGGGTTGTTCCTGAAGAACATCTGGGGAAGGTCCAAGAACAATGTCTTCAACCACGTTGGCTTTGACAGGATGAAATAGCAGAAGAAGCAGCTTCTTGGATGAGAAGCGAAACATCTTCAAAGGAAAAACAGACAGTCCAGTTGCCTCTTGAAAAAAGCACCTTTGGGACAACCAGGACCTGGATGACTAAGATCTCCACCGAGATACAGCAGAAGACAGGAGTAGAAGGAAAACAAAGGGTTGAAGAAGAGCTGCTGAAGGTTCATTAGATGCTTTTTCTTTGAAGCTTCCTTCAAACGTTCTGGCCCACTCAATGCCTTTCCGTGGTCTAATCTAGAAGAGCGTTTAATAATAATAATAATAAAGTTGGAAGGGATCTTGGAGGTCATCAGGTCCAACCCCCTGCTCAGGCAGGAAACCCTATACCATTTCGGACAAATGGCTGCCCAGTTTCTTCTTAAAAACTTCCAGTGTTGGTGCATTCACCGCTTCTGGAGGCAGGTTATTCCACTGGTTAATTGTTCTGTCAGGAAGTTTCTCCTTAGTTCTAGGTTGCTTCTCTCCTTGGTTAGTTTCCATCCGTTGCTTCTTGTCCTGCTCTCAGGTGCTTTGCAAAATAGCTTGTCTCCCTCTTCTTTGGGGCAGCCCCTGAGATATTGGAAGACTGCTGTCATGTCCCTCCTCGTCCTTCTCTTCATTAAACTAGACAGACCCAATTCCAGCAACCGTTCCTTATATGTTTTAGCTTCCAGTCCCCTAATCATCTTTGTTGCTCTTCTCTGTACTCTTTCTAGAGTCTCAACATTTTTTTACATCGTGGTGACCAAAACTGGATCCAGTATTCCAAGTGTGGCCTTACCAAGGCATTGTAAAGTGGTATTAACACTTCACGTGATCTTGATTCTATCCCTCTGTTAATGCAGCCTAGTACTGCGTTGGCTTTTTTGGCAGCTGCAGCACACGGCTGGCTCCTATTTAAATGATTGTCCACTAGGACTCCAAGGTCCCTCTCACAGTTGCTACTATTGAGCAAAGGATCCCCTATACTATATCTGTACATTTGGTTTTTCTTGCCTAAATGTAGAACCTTACTTTTTTCACCATTGAATTTCATTTTGTTAGATAGTGCCCAGTGTTCAAGTCTGTCCAGATCCTCCTGTATCCTAAGGCTGTCTTCTGGAGTGTTGGCTATTCCTGCCAGCATGGTGTCGTCTGCAAATTTGATGAGTTCCCATCTATCCCCTCGTCCAGATCGTTGATGAAGATGTTGAAGAGCACTGGGCCCAGAACAGAGCCCTGGGGCACCCCACTACATACTTCCCTCCATGTAGATGCAGTTCCATTGAGGACCACACGCTGAGTATGGCCGGTCAACCAGCTGCGGATTTCCATAACTGCTTCAACAAATGTTCAAAATGGTTCCTCAACCCAACTGGACAAGAACCTTCAGCAAATGTTCTTCAATTCCTTGCTTTCCTTTGGTGCCCGTCTTCTGCTTCTCTCCTCTTTCACCCTATCAAAACCAACCTGAGGAAGACATTATCTTGTCGGGGTGGATCCCCTACTTTCAGGTGGGGACAAAGCTTTCTGAAGTATAAAGTGACACCCCCCCCCGTTAACTTGGGCTGTCAGATCAGCGTGCGCCAGAAAGTGCAAAGAACGGGCACATGCTTTATCCAGAGCCGCTGTGCTTCTTTTGGCTCAAGGCCCGCCAGCACAACGCAACCACACAGTTTGCACTTTCTCACAGGGGAGGAAGGAGGAAAGATGATTTTGATGGCACCCTGAGAAGCTTGAAGTGGGCCGCCTCCATTCTTTTGGCCGTGTCCCATTTGGGGGAGCGAAGGAACAGCCATTCCACGTCAGACCTTAATGTATTTGCTTTTTGTCTGTGAATATTTATAACAGTGGGGAAAAAATCCGGGACAGCTGGTAATGCATTTTGAAGTGTGTTAACAACACAGCACCAAACAGCTCTCTATTGATCACGTAATGCCTTTTTTCTTTCTTTCCCCCCCACCCCGGCCAAGCATTTCTTCCGTCTTTCTTTCTGTCTGTCTGTCTTTTTTTTCTAAATGCATCCTTCAAGTACCTTTTGCTTCAAACGATTTTTCACCTCTTTTATTCCCATTTTTGCATGATCTTTTGCCTGCATGAAAAAAAAGGAGGAGGGAGGGAAGGAAAGAGGGTTGTTAGTTTAAGAGAGAAATCCTTATTTGCCCGCCCCCCCCCCCAGACAAGGGGTTTTGTAGCCCACCCAGGTCCACCTTCTCTGATTACCCGACAATAGGAGTGGGAGGTGCAGAATGGACCATCACAGGGAAGACATAATGGGCATAAAAACAAATAAGGAGACCAAGAGGTTAAAAAAACAATCTTTAATGAGAGGGAGAGATTTTGTTGGTGGAGAATATCCTGGTTTTAAAGCGAGGATTCTTATTTTATCCCCTAATTATTTTTTATCTCTGCTGCGAGGTCTCTGCGAGGGACTGGAGTAAGTTTCCAGCTTCTAGGTCTGCCTGGCCTGCTGGTAAAAGAGACACTCTGCAGCTCAGTCTGAGCAGGAGATACCACGTTTGGGATCTCTAAGGTCACCCTAGAGAACCAGCCATGCAGAGATTGGGTGGCCTCCAGGAGCCTTTTTCATCAAAGCTTGCAAGTGAGGAAGGAGAGCAGAAGAAGCTCAGGGCTGACAGATAAGGAACTAACCATGATTCCTGCTCTAGAATTAGAGTAGAGTAGAGTAGAGTAGAGTAGAGTAGAGTAGAGTAGAGTAGAGTAGAGTAGAGTAGAATAGAGTAGAGTAGAATAGAAATTAGAATAGAATAGAACAGAATAGAATTTAGAATAGAATAGAAATAAGAATAGAATTAGAATTAGAGTAGAGTAGAATAGAAATGAGAATAGAATAGAACAGAACAGAATAGAATTTAGAATAGAATAGAAATAAGAATAGAATTAGAATTAAAATTAGAGTAGAGTAGAATAGAATAGAAATTGGAATAGAATAGAAATAAGAATAGAATAGAATAGAAGCTGGAAGGGACCTTGGAGGTCTTCTAGTCCAGCTCCCTGCTCAAGCAGAAAAACCTATACCATCTCAGACAAGTGACTGTCTAGCCTCTTCTTAAAAACCTCCAGTGATGGAGCACCCACAACTTCTGGTGGCAAGCTGTTCCACTGGTTAATTGTCCTCACTGTTCCTCCTTAATTCCAAATTGCTTCTCTCCTTGATCAGTTTCCATCCATTGTTTCCCATCCTTCTCTCTGGTGCTCTGGTGAACAACCTGACCCCCTCTGCCTTGTGGCAGCCCCTCAGATACTGGAAGATTGCTATCATGTCTCCCCTATTTCTTCTTTATAGCTATTTTATGCAACTAATGCAGCAAACCTTTTTGTATTACTGTTTTTTGTTTTTTTTGCATTTTAGCATTCAATGGCTACGGGCCTCACAGTGAAAGGACTGATATAGTATACTTCGGCCCTGTGTAACTGACAGGCTGGATGCCAAATTGTGATTTTAATATAGATTTTTTTTTAACTTGTTATTTATTATTTTATTTTAGAATTTTTAACTGGAAATTCACGCAGTGTTTTTTTATTTCTTCCGGTCCTGGACTGTAATAAGCTTGATTTGATTTCGCTCCGGAGACTTACAAATTTGTAGACCGTCTTCATGGCAGGGTTTGCCTTGGTCTTCACCGTGTTTAAAATGGCCCCACTTCCTTTCTAGGTGGACAAAGGAAAAAATAAGCCATCAGGATCATACAGGAATGGAGCTGAGGGCGGGATTTTTTTAATACACCGAGGACAAAATGATGAATGTGGGGCCAAATGAATCCTCGTTAATTATCGCAGGCCTCTTACAGTGACCAAGGTCTCGTTCACAAGAAGGAACAGGGTGGAAACTTTTTTGAGCTGAAAGTCAGATGGTTTTTCCTTCATTTGCAGTTCAATAGCTGGAATTCACCATGCAGGCAGTCCCATATTGCAGGGGTCCCCAACCCCCCCCCATCTGTGGACCAGTATCGGGCTGCGGCATGCCAGCAACCGGTCTACACAAACAAGGAAAACTCCATCCACAGATTGCAGACAGCACACAAAACCGTTTACGCACTGTCCAGTCGGTGGAAAACCCCCTCTCCATGGAACTGGTCCCTGGTGCCCAAAATATCTTAATATAAATGGCTCTATGTTTAAGATACTGACTTTCTCTCCCTCCCTCTCTCCTTCTTTCTCTTTTCTTTTCTTTTCTTTTTCCTCCCTCCCTCCCCTCACTCTCTCTCTTTCTTTCTTCTTTCTTTCTGGTCCCGAATGGTATAGGGCAGAAGCAGGCAACCTTGGCTCTTTTATGACTCGTGGACTTCAACTCCCAGAATTCCTGAGCCAGCCTGAGGGAAACTTTGGCCCCTTCATGACTGGTGGACTTCAATTCCCAGAATTCCTCAGCCAACATGGGGGAACTATGGCCCCTTCATGACTCGTGGACTTCAACTCCCAGAATTCCTGAGCCAGCCTGAGGGAAACTATAGCCTCTTCATGACTGGTGGACTTCAACTCCCAGAATTCCTGAGCCAGCATGAGGGAAACTATGGCCCCCTCATCACTCATGGACTTCAACTCCCAGAATTCCTGAGCCAGCCTGGCTCAGCTTGGAAACCTCTCTCTTTCCCCTCAGCGTGGCTGTCTCAGCAATTCTGGGAGTTGAAGTCCACCAGTCATAAAAGAGCCGAGGTTGCCTACCCCTGGTATAGGGTTTCCTGCCTGAGCAGGGCGTAGGGCTAGATGACCTCTAGGGTCCCTTCCAACTTTGTTATATGATTTCTGTTACTCTTACTGTTATTTCCTTGCTTGCTTCCTCTTCTCCTTCCTTCCTTCCTTCCTTCCTTCCTTCCTTCTTCCCTCCCTCCCTCTTTCTCTCTTTCACATCAAAGCCTTCCTTTCTTTCGGCCCAATCCTTGAAACTCTTTGTCAGTCTTTCAGAATGTCAGAGAAGCCAACCGAGCTTATTTTATGGCTTTTCAAAAAAGGTGGTTTGAAACAAGGTTTGGGGCCCCAGAAGAAAATAATTTGAATTCTGCTCATTGACGATCTTCCTTGCCTATGTAAAGAGGAGATTCAAAAGGCCATGTCAACGCTGCAAATATTGTACATTCTTGCTTTTGACAATATGCAGAACTGTTTGGTATTTTTAGAGTTCATTCGGAAGCCAGAAAAAAAGGAAGGGAAGTGAATCTCTGCCCTCTGGGCTAATTGGAAGATGTGATTTGTGACTGCAAGATAAGGGAGGGGTTTAGCAAGAAAAGTGAGATGCCAGCAAGAGGAATTCAGATTCTGGTAGAAAACCTCCATGATGTGCCGGTCAGTTTGTAACACTGGTAATAAAAGCTTTAGGATAAACATGCTTGGAAGTTCTTTGAAGTGTTTCATTAGTCGGAACCATGACAGGCCAACCCTCCGGGATTCTAAGACGGGTGTGATATTCGGAAATCTTTTATCAAGGGGCACAACACATCTGCAGATTCAGCCTCTGGAGCAAAAATGCTGCCTTGACTCTTGGGGAGAAGACCACTTTGGGGGCAGAATTGAGGACCGCCAATTGTCTCTGGCCCAAGATGTAGCAGCCCTTGAAGGATGGAGGAGGAAGGACAAGAAAGAGATGGAGGAAGCCTCTGTGGAAGCTTTCAAGGGATACTCACCCTGACAGTTGATAGCCACTGGTGATAAAGGTTGTCACTCCCTGTCACAAAAGAAGAAATTCAGTGAGATCTGGTTTGGGTCCTTCTGTCTCCCAGCATTTATCCAAACACAACCCACCACATCCCGTTCTGCCACCGGTTACCCCGATCAACCACCTTAAAACAATTCGGGAGAGAGAAATGGAGGCCTCTTGAAGCTGCTTCTCTAAATATTCTATTCTATTCTGTTCTGTTCTATTCTATTCCATTCCATTCTCTATTTTCTATTCTATTTTCTATATTCTATTCTATTCTATTCTACATTCCATATTCTATTCTGTTCTGTTCTGCTCTATTCTATTCTATTCCATTTCATTCTCTATTTTCTATTCTATTTTCTATATTCTATTCTATTCTACATTCTATTCTATTCTATTCTACTCTACTCTATTCTATTCTTTCTTATTCTATTCTATTCTGTTCTATTCTATTCTACATTCTATTCTATTCCATTCCATTCCATTCTCTATTCTCTTTTCTATATTCTATTCTACATTCTATTCTATTCTATTCTATTCTCTATTCTCTATTCTATTTTCTCTATTCTATTCTACATTCTATTCTATTCTTTCTATATTTACATTCTATTCTATTCTATTTTCTATATTCTATTCTATTTTCTATATTCTATTCTATATTCTATTCTATTCTATTTTTTATTTTCTATATTCTATTCTACATTCTATTCTATATTCACATTCTATTCTACATTCTATTCTATTTTCTATATTCTATTCTATTCTATTCTATTCTATTCTATTCTATTCTATTCTATTCTATTCTATTCTATTCTATTCTATTCTATTCTATTCTATTCTCTATATTCCATTCCATTCCATATTCTGTTGTCAACGCTGTTTTTATAGGATATTATTGCTATTGCTATTCTGTTCTGTTCTATTCCATTCCATTCATTCCATTCCATTCTATGAGACATGATAGCAGCCTTCCAATATTGGAGGGGCTGTCACAGAGAGGAGGGGGTCAGCCTATTTTCCAAAGCACCTGAAGGACAGACAAGGAATAACGGATGGAAACTGATCAAGGAGAGATTCAACCTAGAAACAAGGAGAAATTTCCTGATAGTGAAAACAATCAACCGATGGAACTGGAGTTGCCTTCAGAAGTTGTGGGAGCTTCATCACTGGAGGCTTCCAAGGAGAGACCGGACCGCCATCTGTCAAAAATGGTGTAGGGTCTCCTGCTTGAGCAGGGAAGGGGTTGGACTAGATAACCCACAAGGTCCCTTCCAACTCTGTTGTTCTAATTCTAATTCTCCTCACCGGCATATTCCCCCAGGCTGATCTCTTCCTCGAAGACGTCACTGAAGCCTTCTCCAGAGTTGAGAAGATCAAGACGTCCGTCGATGAACTTCAGGAGAGAGAAAGAAAAAAAGCATTATCGTCTGATGCTTGCTCTCTTTTTCCAGGAGAACATCTCGGATAATCTAAGATCTTCTCCACAGCAGATATCTCTGGAGGTTCTCAGTCATCCAGGTCATAGTGATCCCAAAGATGCTTTTCCAAAAGGCAACTGGACTTTGTCTTTCCATGAGGACGTTTCGCTCCCCTTCCAAGACGCTTCTTCAGTTCTGACTGTCCTTGAAGGCGTTTCGCTCCTCATCCAAGTCGCATCTCCAGTTCTGACTTCTTCCGTCCTTCAGTCAGAACTGAAGAAGGTTCTTGGATGAGAAGCAAAAGCCTGGCTGCCTTTTGAAAAAAACAAAACACTTTTGGGTTCTCTCTCAGCAGGTCCTTTTGACGGGGACCCCATTATCTTAAGTTCTTTGCTGTGAAAACCAGAGAGGGGGGGAGAGAGGGGGAGAGGGGGAGGGAGAGGGAAGGAGAGAGAGAGAGGGAGGGAGAGAGAGAGGGAGGGAGAGAGAGAGAGGGAGAGAGGGAGGGAGGGAGAGGGAGAGAGAGGGAGAGAGAGAGAGGGAGAGAGAGAGGGAGGGGGAGGGAGAGAGGGAGGGAGGGAGAGAGGGAGGGAGAGAGAGGAAAAGAGAGAGGGAGGGAGAGAGAGAGGGAGGGAGAGGGAAGGAGGGAGGGAGGGAGGGAGGGAGAGAGAGAGAGAGAGAGAGAGAGAGAGAGAGAGAGAGAGAGAGAGAGAGAACAGAGAGATGGAAAAATAGACCAACCTCGTCTATTATGGAAGACAGAATAGGAAGGACACACAATGCTCTTAAAAATAGCTTACGAGCTTGCCTGGTGGAGGGGAGAGGGGAAAAAAAAAACCCACAGGAAACACCTCATCCTGACCCATAAATTACACTAATTAGGGAACAAAGTGGCCAGCCGTATTTCACAGCACGCTGCGAAACAGCGATTGTTCTTAACACACACACACATGCACACACACACACACACACACAGAGAGAGAAACACAAGGGTACCTGCTTGAAAAGCTGCAGCTGGATGGCGTTCTGCAGGAATTGCCGCATGGTGGCTGACCGGTGGGAGATGAATATTTCTTCGCAGAAAGTGATGGGCTCGGCCTGGAGATAGGAAAATGGGGGGGAGAGGGGTGTGTGTGAACAGACATCTTCCCCAGCGCCCTGGAGGGAGGACGGCGGATGATGGAAACCTGGGTCCACCATCCGGATGAGCATCTATGGAGATTTTCCATCCTCCAAGTCATGGTTGTCCCAAAGCTGCTTTTTCAGGAGGCCACTGGACTTTCTTGTTCTGCTTTGAAGACGTTTCGCTCCCCATCCAAGAAGCTTCTTCAGCTCTGACTGGATGGTGGGGAAGGGAAGGATTTATACTCCTTGCAGACAGCCGGTCATTTGCATCCTTTGAGAGAGTCGTTGAAGCACCTGGAGGTTTATCTGTGTCTTCAGGGTCTTGTCCACACTTTGGACAGAGTGGACCGCTGGTTTGAAAGAGGGGTCAAAGAGGCCACCTAGGTCAAAACTGAACAGTCCTCTCTCAACAGAGGGGGAGGGACACGACATCATCTAACTCCAGTCTACAACACGGTTCTTTCGGCAGTGCCAAGAAGGCTCCACATCATTTGCACCATTCAGGTGACTTTGAGGACACAGGTAAGCCTCCAAGTGGCCTCAATGACCCTCTAAAATAAGTCAAATGACCAGCTGTCTGCAAGGAGTATAAATCCTTCCATTCCCACCATCCAGTCAGAGCGGAAGAAGCTTCTGGGATGAGAAGTGAAACGTCTTCAAAGGAAAAACAAGGAAGTGCAGTCCAGTTGCCTCTGGAAAAAGCACCTTTGGGACATCCGGATCACCATGCTGGGGAGCCAACCGCCCCCACTGAAGGCCACAGGAATCCCACTTGAAGACCCCCACTCTTACAAGTTGCAAGAAGTGGGGTTGGTGGCCATTTGTGGGGGAGACCTTCCACTTACATCCAGAGTATGTTTTTTCCTTCATGGGCATGCTCCAGGGTGAAAGAAAACCAGCAAGTAAATGAGCCTCAGTATGAGGATGGCCCGTCTCCTTGGGGACAGCCAGTGGTTCCCCAAAACCATGCCCCGGCACCCTTCAATCAAAGTCGACCAACCCTTCAAAACGGCCCACGCTCCTGAAACACGGATTTCTCCTTTTTGCCTGCAGCAACTGCAATACCCAACTGGGAGATCACCACTTTCTCTGCTGGGTGTGAGGATCTCACCCGCAGGGAAACCCCCTCTAAAGCAAGTATAGGGGGTACCTGGATCAATGGTAGCAACTGTGAGAGGGACCTCGGAGTCCTAGTGGACAATCCCTTAAATAGGAGCCAGCCGTGTGCTGCAGCTGCCAAAAAGGCCAACACAGTGCTGGGCTGCATGAACAGAGGGATGGAATGAAGATCACATGAAGTGTTAATACCACTTTGCAATGCCTTGGTAAGGCCACACTTGGAATCCTGCATTCAGTTTTGGTCACCACGATGTAAAAAAGATGCTGAGACTCTGGAAAGAGTGCAGAGAAAAGCAACAAAAATGATCAGGGGACTGGAGGCTAAAAAATACCAAGAACAGTTGCTAGAATTGGGTATGTCTAGTTTAACGAAGAGAAGGACCAGGGGGGGGGGACATGATAGCAGTCTTCCAGTTTATCAGGGGTTGCCACAAAGAAGAAGGAGTCAAGCTATTTTCCAAAGCACCCGAAGGCAGGACAAGAAGCAATGGGTGGAAACTAACCAAGGAGAGAAGCAACCTGGAATTAAGGAAAAACTTCCTGACAGTGAAGACAATTAACCAGTGGAACAACCTGCCCCAGAAGTGGTGAATGCTCCAACACTGGAAGTTTTTAAGAAGAGACTGGACAGCCATTTCTCCGGAATGGTATAGAGTTTCCTACCTAAGCAGGGGGTTGGACTAGATGACCTCCAAGGTCCCTTTCAACCTTCTTCTTCTTCTTCTTCTTCTTCTTCTTCTTCTTCTTCTTCTTCTTCTTCTTCTTCTTCTTCTTCTTCTTCTTCTTCTTCTTCTTCTTCTTCTTCTTCTTCTTCTTCTCCTCCTCCTCCTCCTTTCTTCTCCTCCTCCTTCTCCTTCTCCTCCTCCTTCTTCTTATGTCTATTTTCCCCCAAATTCAGAGACTCTCCATTGCTAATTGTTTTCCTTCTGCTCTCCAAAGCAGGGCCAAAACCCCCAACTCCCCCCAAAACCTCCAGAGGAATCCTGCTGTGTCTTCCAGATCTCACCCCCCCCCCTGCCCCGCCTGCAAATTCTGCAGAGCCTGTGGTCCCTGCGAGAGGGAAGGGGGGGCCCTTTCCTGCAAGGGGGGGCTAATCCTCTGTGCAAGCACGTGACCGCTGCCATCCACGCTTGCGGCTTCCTTTCACACCTCCGTCACGGGAAGAGCCACCCCGATGCCTTTCATCCCCACAGGAGGGGGGGAAAGAGAGGAGAAGTGACCGTCTAATTAGATCACGTGGGCCCCGGGAAGCATCTGGCAACGTGCAGGGCAGTTTACACAGCTCGAGTTGTCGTGGAGACAAGCACATGACCAGCTCCGCACCACAACTCCGGGGCAGTGGTCCAAGCGCACTCTTCACGGGCTCTGACAGAGAGCAGATGGGCGACGAGTCGGGAGGCCAGGAAGACACTCGGAGGAAGCCTCTTAGCTCTGGCAGACCTACGTGGGTACCCCCATCCTTTCCATCCTGGATTTACAGACACACACACACACACACATACCGAATGTCATCTTGCCAACAACACCAAGGGCTCCCTTTCCTAGCAGACCAGCAACTGGCACACCGCAAGACCCGGTCTGGTTCTGCAATCCTCGTAGAGTCAGTGTGTTGTGTTGAGTAGGCCTTGGAAGAGCTGCTCTGCTCGTTACGGCTCCCCGGTGCCAAGTTTGTTGAGCAAACACGGGCAAAAAAAGCACGCATCAGTCTCATAGACGTGCCCAGAACTCTGCATCTTTGGGAGGACAAGTTGGAAGAGTCTCCGTTTTCATGGTCCCTCCAGGCAAAGGTTGAGGGTTGGTTTTTTTTCCTACTCTTGTCTTGTCCTCTGCAAAGGGGACCCGGAAAATGGAGAGGCAGAACCCCTAAAAGTGTTGCCCCATAAAAAGAGGGCAACCTTATCACACGCAGGTGGACTCTCTTCCCCTTGCACGACCGGAAAAGAATTGGATCCAGCTGTCTCATTTTGCCCCAGTCAAGATCGTCTCTTTCGTATCATGGCCAAAGAGCTGAGTTGCAACGACTGCAAAAGAAGAATAGATGCTCGCCCTGAAATTCCTAGAAGGAGCACCACCTGGTGATGCAACGAGCTTCAGTCCAGACCCTTTAATGCTCTTCCAGGAAAATCCAGGCTTCGCTCTACCTCATAAGCTCTCTTCAAAAGCATCCCGAGGAATTATTAGTGCCGCTTTAAAGAAGCCTTAGTGAGGCCACACCTGGAATACTGCAGCCAATTCTGGTCACCATATTACAAAAAAGATGTTGAGACTTTGAAAAAAAAGTGCAGAGAAGAGCAAGTAAGATGATCCAAGGCCTGGAGACTAAAACATATGAAGAACGGCTGTGGGACTTGGGTTTGGCTAGTCTAAAGAAAAGAAGAAATAGGGGAGACATGATAGCCATATTCCAGTATTTGAGGGGCTGCCACATAGAAGAGGGCATCAAACTATTCTCCAAAGCACCAGAAGGCAGGACAAGAACCAATGGATGGAAACTCATCAAGGAGAGAAGCAACCTAGAATTAAGGAGAAACTTCCTGACAGTGAGGACAATTAACCAGTGGAACAGCCTGCCTCCAGAAATCGTGGGCGCTTCATCACTGGAGATTTTTAAGAAGAGGCTAGACAATCACTTGTCTGAAATGGTATAGGTTGTCCTGCTTGAGCAGGGGGCTGGACTAGAAGATCTCCAAGGTCCCTTCCAGCTCATTCCATTCCATTCCATTCCATATTTTCTATTCTATTCTATTCTATTCTATTCTATTCTATTCTATTCTATTCTATTCTATTCTATTCTATAAGCAACCTAGAATTAAGGAGAAACTTCCTAACAGTGAGGACAATTAGCCAGTGGAACAGCTTGCCACCAGAAGTTGTGGGTGCTCCATCACTGGAGGCTTTCAAGAAGAGACTGGACAGCCACTGGTCTGAAATGGTATAAGTTCTGCTGACTGAACAGGGGGCTGGACTAGAAGACCTCCAAGGTCCCTTCCAACTCTATTCTATTCTAATTTTAAGAGTTAAGAGTCTCATAACAGCCACTGCTAACAGCCACAGTTCGGGTTAAACTCTCTTGCTACCTTCACCTGACCGAGAGTCAGATAAGCTCGATAATTAAGGGGGCTCAGCCTACCTACATCTACCTGGGAGAGGCATCTCTGCCTGCTATTCCGGGGAGGACACCCCTCTCCGTGGAGAGCAGCAGACTCATTAATGAGGCTAATTAGGTGTAAAAGGGGAAGAGCTTGGCATCAGCTGCAGCTTATCGCAGCTCATCATTAATCTCTGTAATCCTGATTCCCAAACAGCCGCTGATCGGGGCTCCTCCGTGACTGACTGGCTGGCATGGCCGAGAAGCTTTGCAAGCTAACACCTGTCTACCTGGCCACGCACCTACGGGGAGGCTTAACCCCAGAGCGTCCGGGCAGAGGATGATCAGAAGCAGGATTGTGCAACGGTTGCTAAGTCTCAGGGGGAATGGTGGGGCAAGAATGGGCAATCTCCGCATGATACGGGAAGGTAGCCATGGGGATCCTACAGAAATGCACACCTCCAGAGGAAGAACCGGGCGGGAAGGTGGATTTGAAGCAACTGGACCCCTCAATGGGAAATGAAATTTTGGCCTCCTGCTTTTTGGTCAATCAATCGATCAATCAATCAGAATAGAGCTGGAAAGGGCCCTGGAGGTCTTCTAGTCCAGCCCCTTGCTGAAGCAGGAGGACCTATACCATTTCAGACCAGTGGCTGTCCAGTCTCTTCTTAAAAACCTGGAGTGATGGAGCACCCACAACCTCTGACGGCAAGGTGCTCCAGTGGTTAATTGTCCTCACTGTTAGGAAGTTTCTCCTTAATTCCAG